TAGGTCGGTCGAGGAACCTACCTGTACCTACCCCTGCCTCGCCTTGACTTGCCTGGCTCGACCAACCTGTGTGAGAGCACCTCACCCGCCAAGCTCCAGCCCCATCGCGAACTCCCCGGCAGCATCGCCTCGGCCGCATCAGCGTTCGAGCGACTCTCAGCACCACCGTCCAACCGAGCAGCCTGGCAAGCATGGCGAAGCAATGCCGATGACACTGAAAAATCTGACACGACATGGCTTCTGATGATCCCGTCAAGGAGCAATCGCCCCGACAGCTTGACTTGGCCCGCCTCCAGGACGGGCCTTATGTCCTACGAACCCTTCTAGAAGATGTACCCCTCTCGGCGGATGGTCCCGTGACAGACGTGAAGATCAACTGCGTCGAATATTTCGGTACGCTATCTAGGGTGTGTGCTTTCTAGCCGGCCTGCGACTAACGTTGTCATATTATAGATCACAACTTATACGTAGGAACGAGCGCATCTGAGCTGCTTCACTTCGTCCAAATCCCGCCCGACCCCTCCGATCCCTCTGGCCGACCAACCTTTATCCTGGCGTCCCGACTCCAGCCTCCCTTTGCTGAGACCAACAATACGAAGCCAGGTGTGCAGCAGATCTTGCTACTGCCCCGAGTGTCCAAAGCATGCATCCTGTGCAACTGGACCGTCACTTTCTACTCCTTGCCTGAACTCAGCCCTGTCTTTGGCACGACACAGGTCAAGAACTGCAACTGGGTCGGCGGTGTTGACTTGAACGACCCGCAAGATGACCCCGACGCCGACGATCCGGTCACGATATTACTGTCCCTCAACCGTAGAATCCAGGTGGTGCGGATAGGTGATGATCCCAGGGCTATCAAGGTAGGTCGTTACGCACCCAGCTGTAGCGAAGACCATACTGATGGTTAGCAGAACATAGATGTCGGCGGTAGCACCATTTCCGTCCGTCGTGACACAATCGCCTGCGTGGCAGATTCCAGGAGCTACTCCTTACTGGACGTCACCCGGCAGCTTAAGATACCGCTAATGACCATATCGTCTCTCGATGACTCCCAACCCGGCGGAGAGATCGGTCAGGCTCAGAACATTGCCGGCAGCGTTGAAGGGGGTATTTTGCGAAGCGTTTCTGCCGTGCAGAACAGGCCGCTGCAGGCAGCCCAAGCCCAGGGCCATAGCAGAAGCACGAGTCTAGGAGGGAGTTTGCCTCTTCGGCCCTCGGATTCATCACCTCCCACACCCTCTGCCAGCCCACAACCGCCGCATGGCCCCCATTTGCCGCCGCCTTCAGAAAACGACAAGCCCTTGCCTGAAGCGCCAACTCAAGAGGCGCAAGAGGCACCGCTAGCTTCAGAGCCCGCTGCGCCTCCGAAGCCCAAACCTGTTTTCCTCAAGCCGCACATTGTGTCACCGACCCCTGACGAGTTCTTGCTTGTTACAGGCACAGGGCTCTCAGAGCCGGGTATCGGCCTATTTGTCAATCTAGACGGTGACCCTACGAGGCCCACTGTCGAGTTTGAGCGTTACCCCCGCGAGGTTGTTGTGGATGGGGGCTCATCCGATCTGGCGTCATCACAGGTATCGCCCAGTGATGCAGAGGAGGGCTATCTACTCGCTTCGATGGCAAGAGAGGTTGACAAAGCAATGCGCCACGGTATCGAGATTCAGAGATGGGACGGCGATGGGAGTGAGCCCGACACTTCAAAATTCTGGCTTGAAGCTGAATCAATACCCGGCATCGAACAAGCGAGTGTAACACTGGGAATCCGATCTATGATTGGCGAAGAAGAGACGCACTTTTCCGAGATCGTGGACAGGATATGCCAGCGAAAGTTCACGCCTTTCTCCCTGGGCAGTTTGGAGCCATCGACATTGTCCCTAAAGAGTGCAGACTCGCGTACTGCCTCGTCTCTAGAGCGTGTATCAAGGGAACGCGAATTGTTCGACAGAGACAATGATACGCAGAGCGAGGAGTCACTGCCTGACGGATGGCAGAGCAGTCGGAATGCCGAAGAAGAGGCATTTGTAGCGCGCTTCGCGAAGACGCAATCCCGAGTGGCCGTGTGGGCTGGAAACCACATCTGGTGGGCGGTCCGTAACCCGATTCTTCTCCAGTTGGAGGCTCGCATCGACGCTGCTTGTACGCACGACGGGGAGACTGGCCGCATGGCCTTGGATCGCCGTGCAGTGTTCACAGCGTTGAATTCCATAAGAGGGAGAGAGCCCAAGACGGAGTTAGAGTTTGTGACGTTCAGCTACATCCGCCAACGAGCGGCTGTGTTGCTGTTTGGTGATCTGCTACAGCCGAGCGATGATTCCTTCTCAGACGGAGAAGTCAAGGCGCTCGAGGAGGTACTCCTGGATAGTGCTCTCGACGCACGCGTTATTTTATCACTGGTACCAGGTCTTCAAAATGAAATCATCGAGAGTAAGAGGGGGACATGGGTCTTTAGTGGCGTCAAGAAGGCTGCTGAGCAGTATCTGCGGAGCCACTCATTTGATCGAAGTCAGCACACCCTTGGGAGCCTGGATGCCCGTGTCATTCAATTCCTGCGCCGGTTCCTAGGATCATGGAGAAAGAAGAAGGATTTTGGCAGTATTCCCGACAAGGACGAAGTTCTGCGCTCCGTAGATGCGGCGCTGTTGATCGTGCTGCTCGAACTGGATCGAGATGCACCCAAGGGTATCGCCCGCAGCAGCACAACGATCAGAGCTGAACTGAACGAAGTTGTGGACAAGGGCGTCGACTGCTTCGATCGGGCTGTGTCGTTACTCGAATCTTACCACCGACTTTTCGTCCTAAGCCGACTCTACCAAAGTCGTAAGATGGCTGGCGACGTGTTGGCTGTCTGGCGGCGCATTATAGAGGGCGAACGTGATGATGGCGGCGAGCTGCGCGACGGCGAGCTGCGAGTCCGCGAATATCTTATGAAGATCAACAGCCAGGCGCTCGTGCAAGAGTATGGCCTCTGGCTGGCCAACCGCAACCCTAAACTGGGTGTCCAGGTCTTCGCAGAGGACAAGGGAAGAGCGCCAAAGTTCGAGCCTACAACCGTTGTGGCTTTGCTTCGCGCCGAAGCCCCTGCCGCGGTCAAGTATTACCTGGAGCATCTCGTCTTCGGAAAAGGCTACACTGGCTACGTCAACGACCTGATCACATACTATCTCGACATTGTCACTGGCGAATTGCATTCCTCGCAGACAAGCAGAGAAGCGTTTGCGGCCACGTACGACGCGTATCGCGCCCTCCAGGCCCCAAAGTCGACTTATCGTCACTTTTTGACCGACAACGCACCGAAGGATGATGAGGTATGGCAGAGCCGTCTGCGGTTGCTGCAACTCCTGGGCGGCACAGAAGACTACGATGCCGCCACGGTCCGCGCCAGCATCGAGTCTCTGCCCGGCGAGCTGCTTGTTCCCGAGATCATCATTCTCGATGGCCGAGAACGACGCCACGAAGACGCGATCCGACTGCTCGTCCACAAACTGGGTGACTACGACACGGCCGTGTCGTACTGCCTGCGTGGTGGATCGAGCATCTACACGCCGCTGTCACGCGGCAGGAAGGACAGCATGCCGACGCACGAGATGCAGGCGCGCCTGTTCCGCGCCGTGCTGGGCGAGTTCCTCACGATTGCGGATGTGAGCGAACGCGTCGAACAGACGGGCGCGCTGCTCGAGAGATTCGGTGGCTGGTTCGAAATTGATGACATTCTGGGCCTCATTCCGGACGGGTGGTCCGTCGACATTGTGGCCGGGTTCCTCGTCAGGGCGCTGCGGCGGCTCGTGCAGGAGAAACACGAGAGCTCCGTCATGAAGGCCTTGAGCTCGGCCGAGAACTTGCGGGTCAACCATGAGTTGATTGTCCGGATCGACGAGATGGGCCCGACCAATGAAGCAGCACAGTGAGCGGCGAGGGAGGAGCAGGAAGCGGCGAGGCACAAGTCATGAGCATGATATGTATGAACAGTTAGTCTTATGTTGGCTTGGCGACAGTTCAATAGCACGGAGATCAGTAGTCATCCACTACGTGACCAATTTCTAGAGAAAATGCATCAGCCGTAGACGTGTTCATGCCTGGCTCTCAACGTCTTGGTGTCGCGGCGATGTCTACAGCGCGGATCTAAGACTATGTTGAGTAACCACGAGGCTGTACACCTCCTGGAAGCAAAGGCCCAATACAGCCCATTCAGTAGCAGTCTTTTTGCAGACAGTCGTGGCAGCTACGCACGATCAACATAAATTAGACCAAGACGAAGAACAACAACAAGAACGGTCTGCCGCGACGTCGACCCACGCGAGCATATTCCCCTCGTGCGAGGAGACTATCTAGATCTGGGCGGCCTATTGACGTGGACCCTGTCGATCACTTCCTCATTGCCGCGCGAGCTGAACTCAGCTGTCACGGCTACACGACGAGCTAGCAGGCTAGTAAAGCCACCGCCCACCAAACTCCAGGGGGCAGAGCGGCCTCGGGCATCGTCGAGGGGCCTTTTTCAAGAATCTTCCATGAGCGCCATGGTCTATGCCAATTCCCATGAGGGGGACGCGAAGGAGGATGGAATGGCAGACTATGCGCTGTTCCCAAGACCGGCAGCAACGTCATCCGAAGCGCTATAGATGGGAGGCGTGCCAATGATGCCGGCCAAGACGGGCAGCGGCCTCAGCCGCACGGAGAAGGGGACGCTACCACGGCGCCGGCGCAAGGAAGCTGAGGAAGCCGAGAGGAGAAAGTCTGCCGGACGGGAGATGATCCTGTTTCACCTCGGGCGAGCGAGCACGTTGTTGTCTGCTTTCTTGTTCTCCTGAGCTGGGGCGCAGTATATAAGAAGGGACAGGGAGACGTGCTGCCGCGCTGCAGGCTGGAGGGGTACGACAAACCGATCGAACGATCGAACGAACGAACGAAGGAACGAACGAACGAAGGACCGAAGGACCGAAGGACCGAAGGACCGAAGGACCGAAGGACCGAACGAAGAGCATAAACATGCTTACGCCTCCGCCTTAGACCCTCGGCGCCCCGAAGCCGGTCCGCCGCAGGATGGCGACGACAAGCCACCTCTTCCGGCCTGCGTCCTCCTCGCCTGGCCTCTCGTCGACCCAGGCCCGCTCGACGCCAGCGACATCCCGCTCCCAAATGGATTCGACCTCGAGGGCCGCGGCGGCCAGAAAGTCGGCCTCGAAAAAGTGACGCATCTTTTCACGCCCAGAGTGGAAGCCGGCGACGATCCAGACGCGGGCATCGGCCGTGTCGGCGAGGAAGTGGCTGACGGAGGCGAGGAGCGCGTCATGCAGCCAGGGCATCCACAGGCAGTCGGCAACGAGGAGACGATCAAAGGCATGCGCCGAGGACATGGCGAGCGGTGTTGTCAGGTCGCCCCAGGCGTGGCCCTCGACTGTGATTTCGGGAGCGACGGTGGACGTGGGCGATGCGGCCGGGACAGCGCCGAGGGTCACGTTGGCACGCAGGGTCTCGAGCACGGAGGGAGCGGGATAGTCCGTGACGACAACGCGGCGGGCGGAGAGGAGGGCGGCGAGGAGGCTCGGCAAGGCCGTACCAGCGCCGAGCTCGAGAGTCGCAAGGCCCTTGACATTGAAGGCCGAAGAAGGGGGCCCCAGAGGTGAGGGGCCACTGGTTGGGTGAGTGAGGGGTGAAGGCAAGGAGCCGGCTTCGATGAGTTCTGCCAAGAGGAGGGATGAGTTCCAGAGATAATGACTGAAAAGTCTACGGTCATGCTCGGTGGCGGGATCGGCCAGCGACAGGGTGAAAGGCTTGGGCAGATGCGGCGACGTGTAGAGCAGATCATGATCCGAATCGCCGTGGATGTGTGGTTGGTCGTCGGGGTCCAGAGTCGCCAAGGCGGAGGAGAGAAAGTCTTCGGGCGAGTCTGCAGGAGGCCCTTTCAGGGCTATGCGGGAGGTGAGGTCCATGACGATGGTTGTCTCGCTATTGAGGGCCGGCAGCCTCGTGTGACAAAAATGGTGTGTGCTGTGAGGTACATGGGCGAAACGGGACGGTTGACGATGGGTGACGGTAACGCCCACGCTGACGCTTATGCTAACGGCAACGGGGTCAAACGGCGACCGGCAAAACGGCGGGGATCGAGATGCACGGCGGAAACGAAAAAGTCCCGATGGGATGGATGATCCACGGATGACCCGGCAGTCCGGCAGCGGCATCACCAGACCGCCACTTTCGGGAGGCCTGCGTGCTGCAATCTATTGTTGGATTCCTGAAGAGAGGGGAGGGAGAGGGGAGGGGGGGCGGACAGCCCGTACGGGCAGTGCAAATGCGATGCATTCTCGAAGAAAAGGGTTCGCCGCAGCAGATGCACCACCGTTTTGGTTCTTGGGGGGTTTCTGACGCAGGGTGCACCGCCACGTCGATGCAGTGACCCGCGCCTCCTTCCTTCAACTGCCCACCCCTGGCATGGGCCAGAAATAGCGACGAACAGCCATAATCTCCACCGCACCCAATATGCCAGCAACTAAGCACGCCGGGACGCCCAAAGAAGGCTCCGGGAGAGGGAGGGGGGGAGAGAGGGAGAGGAGCAGAATTGGGTGCGCAAGCCACCAGTCAGCAGCCACCGCCCGCCACCTGCACCGACACGACAGAGCCGCCGGATACTGCCGTCGGCGACCTCCCTTCTTTTTTTACGCTCCCACGCGGTCACAACAAGAACCCAAGCCAGGGAGCCAAGCCACACCTGCCGTCCAGATGCCTGCTGCACATCCCCCTCGATTTTCTGACAAGACGATAAGGTGCTCCGATAGGCCGATGCGTACCAGAGAATCCCCCCCCCTGGCCCTGCACCCGGGTGGATCCCCCGCACACACACACCCCCTAAACTACGATGACCCGAGTGACTGAATGGTTGACCGAGCCTGCCTGCCTGCCTCCTGCTGTCTGTGACTTGTCCTTTCCGCCCAACCCTTCATCGTGACGGCCAACAGCTTGCTGCGCCGCACTTGACGGGTTGCCATTGCACCGTCTTACCCTCCCCCCGGGACTCGATCGATGCAGGTGCCAGGGAGGTGGGTGCAGGTGCAGCAAAGCAATAACCCTTTCTCACTGTACCTCCCCTTGAATACCTCCTGCCACACAGACGCACACACACAAACACACCTACCGCGGCGTCGCCGATCGACGGACAAGACAGGCCCACCTTTTTCTTTTTTTGCTTCGTGCTCTGCTCGACAGGGGTAAGCAACGAACAGACGACAAGTGAGCTGCAGGTTGGGGGGGGGGGGGGGGGGACGAAGAACAACACCAACCGAAGCGAGTTCACTCGTTGGTCATCTGATCTCTCTCCATACGGGCTTACCAGCCTACCGAACTACCTACATGGTACATGGTACTCCTCTCACGGGCCTTTTTGCGCGCGGGGTGGAATCACCAAACAGACGAACACCAACATGGCGAATTTCGGCCGCCGGGAACGACGGACGAGGGCCTGCAGTTTTGCTCGCTGACTTTCTCGGCAGACGCCCATCTTCGAATCTCCCACCAGCCCGCCGCCGTCGCCGCCGCCATCGCCCGTGGCCCTGGTTCGCTCCTCCTGATTACCCTCTCACTCACCCCCCC